GGTGCATGTCACCAGGCCCAGCCCTCATCATTTTTTTTTTTTTTTTTTGGTATCAGGGTTTGAACTCAGGACCTTGTGCTTGCGAGGCAGGTGGTGGCACCACTGAGCTAAATACCTGGCTGCCTCATCATTTTTTTTATGATAGAATTTCTTTGGGTTTGTGTTTTGTGTAAGACTGAAAATACTGACCATGGTTTCTTTATTTGTTTGGTTTTTTTGAGACAGAGTCTTGCTATGTAGCTCAGGCTGGCCTTGAATTCACTGTGTAGCCCAAGGTGACCTGGAATTCATGGTGATCTTCCTGCATCAGCCTATAGAGTACTGGGATTACAAATTTGCACCACCATGCCCGGCTAGCTGACCATGATTTAGTGTTTTCATCTGTTTGTTTAAAGTGTGTATGTCCTTCCTTTCTTTCCATTTCTTACCCTTACCCTTCCTTCCTTTTTTTGTGCTGAGAGTTTAACTTAGGCCTTATGCATCCTAAGCATATGCTCTACCACTGAGCTATACCCCCTGCTCTTTTCTTTTTCGTAAAGGCCTGTAATTCTAGGAAGAGTCAGTACTGTAGTATGTACATATCTCTACAAATTCTTTCCAGTAATAATTATGACTCACCTTTTTCAAATGTATTCATCATTCAAGTTGGGTTGCTTTTTGTCATCTTAGTGTAGAGCTAGTCCTATGGAATGTAATTATTGCAGAAATCATTTGAACAGGCATATATAAACTATTGGTTAGTCTGGATTAAGGTGTGTTATGCCAGAAGTAAAACATAAATAAGTACTTCATATGTAAGTAGGGAAAATATTGCATATAAACTATATAAGCAATTAGGATGCTAATTCTTATCCAAAGATTTTTAGCATCTCTACTTGGTTTTTTTTTTTTTTGAAACGGTCTCAATACATAGTTCAGGTTCATTTAAACTTGTTGCAGTCTTCCTATCTCAGCCTCCTGAGTGCTGAGATTACAGGCATGCACCACCATGCCTGGCTATCCTTAGTGTTGTTACCTTCAACTGTACATATCATTCATTATCTTACAATTTCTTTTTTTTTTTTTTGGTACCGGGGATTGAACTCCGGTCCTTGAACTTGCACAGCAGGCAGCGAAACCACTGAGCTAAATCCCTGGCCCTATTTTACAATTTCTTATTGTGTACCTGCTATGTATCATAACTATGTATCATTATATTCACATTGCTGAATGTAAACTATAATAATGAAAGGGTTGCTAGGTTTGGCTGTATCTGAAAGGGCCTCCAAATAAATGATTTAAGCAAGACAGACATTTTTCTCTCACATAAAAGTGAACCAGTGTGGCAGTTCTGTGCATGAAGACCTAGGGCCCTGCCTCTCTCATTGCTCCAGTATTCTGAGTGTTGCCCAAATGTACCTCACCCAGATGACTCACTCCCACTTCTACAGCCAGCCAGCAGGAAGTGGGAAATGCCTGACCTGGAAGTTGCCTGTATGCTTTCCATCACTTCTCATTGGTCAGAATATAGTCTTATGGTCATACTCCAGCTACAAGGTTGGGTTGGAACTGCATTTCTCTTGTATTTCTTTATATGCCCAGCTAAATATCTGTTACATAACAGGAGGGAGAAATGAATATTGGGATGACCAGCCATCTCTGCCAGAATCAGGACTTTGTTTTATACTTCTTTTGAGTATTGTACAGTACTTAGCACTGTGCTTTATCCATAAAGTCTGAATAAATTCTTTTTATTAGTTCTTTTGTATAAAAGGCTGGAGTTCTTTAGGTCTTGGATTTATCTCCTATGGTGGCAATATGAACCCTAAAATTATCCACAAAAATTCTTTCTATCCAGGCCACAATAGAGGCAGGATATTGGTATATGTTTATTAGTGGGGTAACATGGCACTTAACTTATATTTATATGTTGTTTTCCAATAGTCTGCAAAAAATTAAAAAATGAGAGGAACCTTTTTGTTGGTGATAGTGCAAGTATAAAAAGGGAGCAGCAATTCCTATAGCTTAAAAGGCAGGGCCTGACAGTCAAGCTGGATTTTTTTTTTTTTTGGTACCGGGGATTGAACTCAGTACCTTGCACTTGCGAGGCAGGCGGTGGCACCACTGAGGTACATCCCCGGCCCTCAAATTGCTTTGTCTGCTTTGCTTGCTGCGAGCATGCAGCCTTCAGTGCTTCTCAGACAGAAGTCATTTAGGAACCATAATTGTGATTTTGGTCATACCTCCCTATCTGTACTACGCTTTACTTAAAATGTATCCTTAAATGTGAATTCATTTACTGTTTCCTAAACTTAACCTTCCGTAAGCAATAATCCTTAAACTGACTTGGAATTTGCTACTATTACATATCAGGTACATAAATATTAAAATAAAAACTGTCTTTTTAAGTACCTAAAAAATCTTGATACTACCAGCATGTGTCCTTAAAGAAATAGTGCTTTAGGGCCGGGGATTTAGCTCAGTGGTTTCACCGCCTATTGCTCATGCACAAGGACCTGAGTTCGATCCCTGGTACGGGGGGGGGGGGAGAAGAAATAGTGCTTTGATCCATTCCCTAGGCCACACTCGTAGTTCTTTGTAAACTTTTCATAAATCCATAGCAACTAAGTGGCTCTGAATTTGTACTTTCAATTCTGGTAGGGAAAGTACTGCTAGTTAGTGGTTACTTTTGAACTATAGAAACTTTAGTTTTCAGGGAGGGTGTGGTTTGAGACAAGGTCTCACTATGTAGTTCAGGCTGGCTTTGAACTCTTGGCAATCCTCCTTCCTCAGCCTCCTAAGTGCTGGGATTACAAACATGTGGTTTCACATTTAGCAGCTCCTGAAATTTTTTTTTGGTACTGGGGAGCTCCTGAAATTTTGATTGAATTATTAACCAGCTGAAGATCTTTTCCAGCTTACCTTTGTTGAACTGTATTTTCTTTTTTAAAAAAATGTAGGAACTGCATTTTGCCAGTTTCTTTCTTTTTTTTTTTCTTCTTTTTGGTACCGGGGATTGAATTTGGGAACTTGTGCTTGCAAGGCAGGTGGTGGAACTACTGAGCTAAATCCCTGGCCGTATTTTCATTTTATTTATTTTACTTTATTTTTCAGTTTTTATTAGTACATTTACATTTCATAATGATTATATCCCTTGTGGGGAGTTGTACATGTATATAACATTTTAATTCTTTTTTATCCTCAGTTTCCTCATTTTAAAAATAGGGCTTATCAAACTTTGGTTTCTCTTCAGATCTTATAAATCTTCCATCTTTTACTAAAAATAGGGCTGGTCAGGTGTGGTGGTGCACTCATGTAATCCCAGCACATTGTGGGGCTGAGGCTGGAGGATATCAAGTTTGAGCCCAGCCTGGGCAACTTAGCAATTTAGTTTAGTGAGACCCTGTGTCAAACAAACAAACACAAAAAGGGAACTGGGGATGTATCTCAGTGCAAAGGCCCTGGATTCAGCCCTTAGTAATGTTAAAAAAAAAAGCAGCATTATTTATTTCATAGGGTTGTTCTGAGGATTAAATAATATATGTAAAAAGCTTTGCAGTGATAGACAGCCTCTCTACTGTTGGTGGACATTTTGTGTTACTTCCACTTTTGGACTGTCTTGAGTAAAGTTTTTTTTTTTTTAAAACAACTTTTTTTTTTTTTAACTCACTTTTTTTTTATTTTTATTTTTGCTACCGGGGATCAAACTGAGGACCTTGCACTTTTGAGGCAGGTGGCGGAACCACTGAGCTAAAAGTAAAGTTCATATGAGCATTCTTGAATGTCTTTTGGTGGTTGTATGCATTCATACTTCTTACATATTATATGTATCTAGGAGTAGAACTCCTGGATGATAGGTATGTTTAATTTTTTTTTTCTTGGTACCGGGAATCGGACTCAGGACCTTGCCCTGGCGCCACTGAGCTAAATCCCCGGCCCCTTGTTTAATTTTAATATGTATTGCCAATAGTTTTTTAATATATAGTTTTATAGTTTAATATATAGTTTAAAAAATATATATTGCCAGTAGTTTTCCAAAGTACCTATACTGTGTTATATGCTCCCATCAGAAAGCATGAAAAATCCAGTTGCTCCTGGAATATCCTCTCCCATAGCTGATATTGTCTTAAAGTTTAGGTCTTCTGCTGGGAAGGCAGTGGTATTTCATTGTGGTTTTAATTTACATCTTTCTGATAAGTAATGGTATAGAAGCACCTTTTCATAGGTTGACTATTGAATATCTGTCTTAGTCACTTTTCTCGTCCCTGGGACACAATATCTGGCATCCACAACTTAAAAAGAGAGAGGTTTTTTTTTTGGCCTTTATGTTTGTAGAGGTATCAGCCCATAGTTGTCTGGCTCCAGGGCAGAAATGGCATGGTAGAAGGGCCTGGGTGGAGAAAAGCTGCTTACCTCATGGCATCTAGGAAGCAGAGTGAGTCGAGGAGCTGGGAAGAGAGATCTAACCATTGTTTACAATGACCTACCTTTTCTGACCAGGCCCCACCTCTTAATGGCAAGTCAGGCATTACCCCCCCCCCCCCAGGTAGTTCAGGCTGGCCTTAAACGCACTATGTAGGCTAAGATTGCCTTGAATTTATGGTGATCCTCCTGCCTCAGCCTCCCAAGTGCAGGGAGTACAGGCATGCATCACCCTGTCTGGCCCTCAACACTTTATTTTTTTCAGACAGCGTCTTGCTAAGTTGCCCTGGAATGTGGGTTCTCATCCTTCAGCCCCCGAATATTTGGGATTACAGGCATGTGCCACCATGTCTGGTTGAACTTTAAAAATTTTTTTTTCCTAGTACTGGGGATCGAGCTCAGGACCTCGTGTTTGCCAGGCAGGCGCAGCGCCATGAGCTACATCCCAGCCCTAAACTTTCTTAATTTTAAGGAAGTCAAGTTTGTCATTTTTTTCCTTCTACACTTAGTATATTTGTGCAGTTTATGAAATTTTTGTTCTTGATATTAAAGATATATTTATATTTGGAACTAATTTATTTTTCTCTACATTAACATAGGTGATGCCATGGAGAGTGGAAGGCCTGGGCCAGTGCAAGTCGTTTTGGTTCACAAAGACCAACATTCCTTTGAGCTAGAAGAGAAAGCCTTGGCCAGCATCCTCCTACAGGACCATATCCGAGATCTTGATGTGGTGGTGGTATCTGTGGCTGGTGCCTTCCGAAAGGGCAAGTCCTTCATTCTGGACTTCATGCTACGATACTTATATTCTCAGGTGAGGAAGAATTAGTTCACTTGAAGAAAGAAAATGAGACGTTTATGTGCAAAATAAGATCATGAATTATCCTTAGTGTATGAGATTACTTATTTAAATTTAACAAGGAGGCTAGAGGTGTAGCTCAGTGGTACAGTGCTTACTTAGCAGATACAGGACCCTAGGTGTGATCCCTAGCATACATACAAAAAAAGATTTAATGGAAATCTCTTATTTCTTCTGTAGAAGGAAGGTGGTCATTCAAATTGGTTAGGTGACCCAGAGGAACCATTAACAGGATTTTCATGGAGAGGAGGTTCTGACCCAGAAACCACCGGGATTCAGATCTGGAGTGAAGTTTTCACTGTAGAGAAGCCAGGTGGAAAGAAGGTAAGAATGAAAAGACTTCTCATATATCTTAGACTGTTAGCAATTCTTTAGATGTTAGCCGAAATAGAGTTTAATATGACTGTCTTATTTTTTATTTTGTAATTAAAAAATTTTATTTGCTACTGGGGATCGAACTTGGCACCTTGCACTTGTGAGGTAGGTGGTAGAACCACTGAGCTAAATCCCCAGCCCTGTCTTATTTATTTATTTATTTTTTGGTACCGAGGATCGAACTTGGGACCTTGTGCTTGCCGGGCAAGCAGCAGAACCACTGAACTAAATCCCCGGCCCATCTGTCTTATTTTTTGTTTTTGTTTTTTTTTCTTTGGTACTGGGGATTGAACTCTGGACCTTGCGCTTGTGAGGCAGGCGCCGGAACCACTGGGCTAAATCCCCAGCCCTGTCTCATTTTTTAATACTCAAGATTTTACCTTCGAAGTTACATGGCTTAAAAAGTAGAGAATTCTTTTCATTTGCTTTTACTTTTTAATTAAAAGTCAACATTCTTTATTTGTTTTTTGTTGTTGTTTTTTTTTCTTTTGGTACCTGGGATCGAACTTCGGACCTTGTGCTTATGAGGCAGGCGCCGGAACCACTGAGCTAAATCCCCGGCCCAACATTCTTTAATATGTATATCTGGATTATTTCCTTTAAATTATGTTAAGCATATGAATATACTACATTTTATACATTTTCTTAGTGGTAGACTTTTTCATTGCCTTTTTTTTGGTAGTGTGAAAGTGTATGTGGGGGGGGGAGGAGGGGCTTGAACCCAGGGCTTTCACACTTCCTACATCCCCAGCCCCTTTTAAAATGTTTTGTATTTTTGAGACAGTGTTGTTAAGTTGTCCAGGCTGGACTTGAACTTGCAATCCTGCCTCAGCCTCCTGGAGTGCTGGGATTACAGGTGTGTGCCTCATCCAGCTTTACTTTTTTATCATTCTTATTAGAATGAACATCCTGATAAATATCTTCTTGTGTAAATGTGTAGTTATGTCTTTAGGCCACAGCCTTTTTTTTTTTGGTACTGGGGATCAAACTCGGGTCCTTGCACTTACACAGCAGGCAATGAAACCATTGAGCTAAATCCCCAGCCCAAGCCCACACCTTTTTAAACTATGTTCATTACCCATTATGGGTAGAGAAATCAGTCTATTGGCTTGTGACTAGTATTTTGAAAAGAAAGGACTGGAACAGAATTGAAAACAGTAGAGTGTAAGCTGGGCATGGAGGCACATGCCTGTGGTCTCAGCACTTGCCTACTTAGAGCTACTGACTGTTCTAGCCACTTAGTTCCCTTTCTGTCATTAGTTCTCTTAGCTGTCATCAGTTTCTGATTTAAACTTCCAGTGATTTTTACTGTATAAATATATATATATATATGCAAATGTTAGACAATTCTGTTTCTTTAAAAAATATATGTAATATAGTCTACATACTGGTCTCCATTTTTATATATATATAAAGATTTTATATATATATATAAAGATTTTATATATATA